CTTCACTTCCCGTCTCATCACTTCCTGTTCTTTCGCTTCCCATCCCTTTACTTCATGTTCTTTCGCTTCCCGTTCTTTCGCTTCCCGTCTCATCACTTCCCGTCCCTTCACTTCCCGTCCTTCACTTCATCACTTCCAGTCCCATCACTTCCCGTCCCTTCACTTCCCGTCCTTCACTTCATCACTTCCAGTCCCATCACTTCCCGTCCCTTCACTTCCCGTCCTTCACTTCATCACTTCCAGTCCCATCACTTCCCGTCCCTTCACTTCCCGTCCCTTCACTTCCCGTCCCTTCACTTCCCGTCCCATCACTTCTCGTCCCTTCACTTCCCGTCTCATCACTTCCCATCCCTTCACTTCCCGTCTCATCACTTCCTGTTCTTTCGCTTCCCGTCCCTTTACTTCATGTTCTTTCGCTTCCCGTCCATTCACTTCCCGTCCCTTCACTTCCTGTCTCATCACTTCCCGTCTCATCTCTTCCCATCCCTTCCCGTCTCATCACTTCCCATCCCTTCACTTCCCGTCTCATCACTTCCCGTCTCATCACTTCCCATCCCTTCACTTCCCGTCTCATCACTTCCTGTTCTTTCGCTTCCCGTCCCTTTACTTCATGTTCTTTCGCTTCCCGTCCATTCACTTCCCGTCCCTTCACTTCCCGTCCCTTCACTTCCCGTCCCATCACTTCTCGTCCCTTCACTTCCCGTCCCATCACTTCCCGTCCCTTCACTTCCCGTCCTTCACTTCATCACTTCACTTCCTGTCCTTTCACTTCCCGTCCCATCACTTCCCGTGCCTTCACTTCCTGTCCTTTTACTTCCTGTCCCTTCACTTCCCGTCCCTTCACTTCCCGTCCCTTCACTTCCCGTCCCATCACTTCCGTCCCCTCACTTCCTGTCCTTTCACTTCCCTCCCTTCACTTCCCGTCCCTTCACTTCCCGTCTCATCACTTCCCGTCCCTTCACTTTCTGTCCCTTCCCGTCCCTTCACTTCCCGTTCTCACTGCACTTCCTGTCCCTTCCCGTCCCCTCACTTCCCGTCCCTTCACTTCCTGTCCCTTCCCGTCCCTTCACTTCCCGTTCTCACTTCACTTCCTGTCCCTTCCCGTCCCCTCACTTCCCGTCTCACCTTCCCGTCTCTTCCCGTCCCTTCACTTCCTGTCCCTTCCCGTCCCTTCCCGTCCCATCACTTCCCGTCCCTTCACTTCCCATCCCTTCACTTCCTGTCCCGCTGACAATGTTCTGCCATAGAGGAAGTGAGGGAAAATCTGGAACAGGAACACAACAGAAATAAAAACCTGAGCGGAGTTCTTCCCTTCCTCTATTAAAGGAGGTCGGAGAGTTCTCGTCACTTCCTGTCTGGTTAAATGTTGTCAGCAGGACAGGAAGTGAGGGGAAATCTCTCTAATGGAGCCCCCGATAGCAGTAAAAACCGGACAGGGGTTCTCACCCTCCCCCACTTCATCCAGTTACGTCTGGACGTCAATAAATCATCTGCTTCCTCGTCATTGTCCGGTTTGTGATTGGTCATAAATCCAGAGATTTTATCACCGACACCCCCCTCCCCCGCCCATGTCGGTGACTTCTGCTGCATTTCCACCCTTTCGTAGAGTGTCAGCTCCTGTGACAAGCTTCATTGTGTTGTTTCTTCCAGGAATATCAGACAACGTTCATCTGTGAATGGAGGAAGTCGGATCTGGACGTTGTCCTCTGTCCTATGCTGGGCCCGGCCTTCAATGTCGGATACCCCGCCAGACTGCTAGGTAGACCCGATGGGGGGGATGGGAGGAGTCTGCTCATCACACACATTATAATCTGCTTCAGATCGACCAACAACTACGCAGTGCGAGGGCCGGTCTGAGAGTCAGGATCAGGGGGTCAGGGTTATGGCGATAGGGGGTCAGGGGATCAGGGTTATGGGGTCAGGGTTATGGGGTTAGGGGGTCAGGGTTATGGGGATAGGGGGTCAGGGTTATGGGAGTTCGGTCAGCGCCGAGGACGAGGCGGCCCTGAGACATTACACCGGATATCACAACGACTTCTGGGACAAACTCTTCAAAAAGGTGAATAAAATGTATAAAACCGAAGAGAGCCAAACGGGGGACACGTGACAACCGTACAGAGTGCAGGGGTCAGGAGTGTGTAATGTACAGAGTGCAGGGGTCAGGAGTGTGTAATGTACAGAGTGCAGGGGTCAGGAGTGTGTAATGTACAGAGTGCAGGGGTCAGGGGTGTGTCATGTACAGAGTGCCGGGGTCAGGGGTGTGTAATGTACAGAGTGCCGGGGTCAGGTGGGTGTAATGTACAGAGTGCCGGGGTCAGGAGGGTGTAATGTACAGAGTGCAGGGATCAGGAGGGTGTAATGTACAGAGTGCCGGGGTCAGGGGTGTGTAATGTACAGAGTGCAGGGGTCAGGAGTGTGTAATGTACAGAGTGCAAGGGTCAGGAGTGTGTAATGTGCAAAGTGCAGGGGTCAGGAAGGTGTGTCATGTACAGAGTGCCGGGGTCAGGAGTGTGTAATGTACAGAGTGCAGGGGTCAGGCGGGTGTAATGTACAGAGTGCAGGGGTCAGGCGGGTGTAATGTACAGAGTGCAGGGGTCAGGCGGGTGTAATGTACAGAGTGCAGGGGTCAGGCGGGTGTAATGTACAGAGTGCAGGGGTCAGGCGGGTGTAATGTACAGAGTGCAGGGGTCAGGCGGGTGTAATGTACAGAGTGCAGGGGTCAGGCGGGTGTAATGTACAGAGTGCAGGGGTCAGGCGGGTGTAATGTACAGAGTGCAGGGGTCAGGCGGGTGTAATGTACAGAGTGCAGGGGTCAGGCGGGTGTAATGTACAGAGTGCAGGGGTCAGGCGGGTGTAATGTACAGAGTGCAGGGGTCAGGCGGGTGTAATGTACAGAGTGCAGGGGTCAGGCGGGTGTAATGTACAGAGTGCAGGGGTCAGGCGGGTGTAATGTACAGAGTGCAGGGGTCAGGCGGGTGTAATGTACAGAGTGCAGGGGTCAGGCGGGTGTAATGTACAGAGTGCAGGGGTCAGGCGGGTGTAATGTACAGAGTGCAGGGGTCAGGGGTGTGTAATGTACAGAGTGCAGGAATCAGGAGGGTGTAATGTACAGAGTTCCGGGGTCAGGGGTGTGTAATGTACAGAGTGCAGGAATCAGGAGGGTGTAATGTACAGAGTGCCGGGGTCAGGGGTGTGTAATGTACAGAGTGCCGGGGTCAGGGGTGTGTAATGTACAGAGTGCCGGGGTCAGGGGTGTGTAATGTACAGAGTGCCGGGGTCAGGGGTGTGTAATGTACAGAGTGCCGGGGTCAGGGGTGTGTAATGTACAGAGTGCCGGGGTCAGGGGTGTGTAATGTACAGAGTGCCGGGGTCAGGGGTGTGTAATGTACAGAGTGCCGGGGTCAGGGGTGTGTAATGTACAGAGTGCCGGGGTCAGGGGTGTGTAATGTACAGAGTGCCGGGGTCAGGGGTGTGTAATGTACAGAGTGCCGGGGTCAGGGGTGTGTAATGTACAGAGTGCCGGGGTCAGGGGTGTGTAATGTACAGAGTGCCGGGGTCAGGGGTGTGTAATGTACAGAGTGCCGGGGTCAGGGGTGTGTAATGTACAGAGTGCCGGGGTCAGGGGTGTGTAATGTACAGAGTGCCGGGGTCAGGGGTGTGTAATGTACAGAGTGCCGGGGTCAGGGGTGTGTAATGTACAGAGTGCCGGGGTCAGGGGTGTGTAATGTACAGAGTGCCGGGGTCAGGGGTGTGTAATGTACAGAGTGCCGGGGTCAGGGGTGTGTAATGTACAGAGTGCCGGGGTCAGGGGTGTGTAATGTACAGAGTGCAGGGGTCAGGAGTGGGTAATGTACAGAGGTCAGGGGTCAGGAGTGGATATGATAAATCTTAGAGCAGTGGCCTGTGGGAAGAATGCCTCATTGTTGGTGTCGGTGGTTGGGGGAGATCGTCTTGTGTCATGTGATCAGATTTAATTTGGTGCCATATCTATGCAGATACTCTCAGGCAGAGTCCTAATCTTCCCGGCAGCACCATGCTGGGCGGAGCTTATTATGTGCCCCAGGTGCCCGTGTCTAACCCCGCCCCCCGCAGAGCACTCTCTTCTTCTGTCATGTATATATACACACCTCCTATCATTCTGTGTCTCCGCAGGCGGTGGAGGACGGGGTGGGCTTGCCGTTGTCTGTGCAGTGCGTGGCTTTGCCGTACCAGGACGAGCTCTGCCTGCGCCTCATGAAGGAAGTCCAGACCCTCCACACGCGGCGGACCATGAAGAGGACCTGTCTATAAGAACAGAGAATCTACAACTGTCATTGTCTTTCATATAACCTCCATTGTCTTTCTCCGCACACTGTAATGGCTCCGAATACTTCTCTCTGCCCGTCCATGACTCCGCCGGCTGATGGGGCCGCACGGCATGCATGACTCCTATCCGCTCTTAGCCGCATTCTGATTGGTGATATTAGAAATAAACGGATTGTATAATTCCATCCAGCGAGTGGCCTCCTGCGGTGCGGATGGAGGTTTTCCAGCCTCCGGAGCGCCGTGATGTCCTGAGCCCGATCATCTCCTCGTTCCGCCGTCTCACATCTGATTGGATTGTATTTCCCGGCGCAGATAACGGCTTCTTCTCCCCGAGATGATTTCACTTGATGATCCTCCGCAGATTGTCTCCTCCGGCTCGTCCGCACGAGGCAATCAGATGTCGTTCCGCCCCCCCGACCCCGGTGGCCCCTCCAATAATAATATTTACATGATGGAGGGAGAGACCCTTCCAGGCCGAGCTCTGCGCCGTGTGTTCAGTCATGGCGGCTGTGAGGACACAGGGCAAGGGGCAGAAACAGGGCCCCAGGGATCAATGACAGGGGCCCCAGGGATCAATGACAGGGGCCCCAGGGGTTAATGACCGGGGCCCCAGGGATCAATGACTGGAGGCCCCAGGGATCAATGACAGGGGCCCCAGGGGTTAATGACCGGGGCCCCAGGGATCAATGACTGGAGGCCCCAGGGATCAATGACAGGGGCCCCAGGGGTTAATGACCGGAGGCCCCAGGGGTCATTTACAGGAGCCCAGGAAAGGTGCATTCTGGGTAAAGAGGTCACGTAGCTAATTATCTTCTCTCTAGAAGGAGGTTTTGTCACAAAGTGTCCAAAAGTCCTAAAAATAAATTCGGCCATTTTTCCTTCTCCCACCCGGTACCTGTAAATGTCCATTTAGTCCCCATAAATACCTTGGAATAGAGGCCGAGGGCCCCGTCCCCCTGCACTTCCTGTACGCTGCGTCCACACTTCATTGTATCTTCCCAACTCCTCCCATTGTAATCACATATCAGAAACTAGTACACTGCCTTTTTCACTACTCCCTCCCAGCCACACCTCTCATCCCTGAAGTCCCGCCCACATCCCCACCCACCTCTCTACTTTGCCAGCCTGGAGCCCAGCTGAATGTGACATGTTGTGCAAGGCATTGTGGGAGATTGAGATGACCCGCATGGAGGTGACCCGTGTTTCTGAGGTCGGTGTGCTCAGCGCTCGTCTATATTAAAGTTTACATCAAGGACAATGGAAGGAATGATATACTCCCGACACGGTACAGGGACACGGCACAGGACACGGTACAAGGACACGGCACAGGACACGGCACAGGGACACGGTACAAGAACATAGTACAGGACACGGCACAGGACACGGTACAGGGACACGGTACAAGGACACGGCACAGGACACGGCACAGGACACGGTACAGAGACACGGCACAGGTCACAGTACAGGGACACGGCACAGGACACAGTACAGGGACACGGCACAGGACACGGGACAGAGACACGGCACAGGTCACAGTACAGGGACACGGCACAGGACACGGTACAGGGACACGGCACAGGACACGGTACAGGGACACTGCACAGGACACGGTACAGGGACACGGCACAGGACACGGTACAGAGACACGGCACAGGACACAGTACAGGGACACGGCACAGGACACAGTACAGGGACACAGCACAGGACACAGGACAGGTCACAGTACAGGGACACGGCACAGGACACAGTACAGGGACACGGCACAGGGACACGGCACAGGACACAGCACAGGGACACAGCACAGGTCACAGTACAGAGACACGGCACAGGACACAGTACAGGGACACGGCACAGGACACAGTACAGGGACACGGCACAGGACACAGTACAGGGACACGGCACAGGACACAGTACAGGGACACAGCACAGGACACAGTACAGGGACACAGCACAGGACACAGGACAGGTCACAGTACAGGGACACGGCACAGGGACACAGCACAGGTCACAGTACAGGGACACGGCACAGGGACACGGCACAGGACACAGCACAGGGCCACAGCACAGGACACAGTACAGGGACACAGCACAGGACACAGTACAGGGACACGGCACAGGGACACGGCACAGGGACACAGCACAGGTCACAGTACAGGGACACAGTACAGGACATGGCACAGGACACAGTACAGGGACACAGCACAGGTCACAGTACAGGACACAGCACAGGGACACGGCACAGGGACACGGCACAGGACACGGCACAGGACACAGTACAGGGACACAGTACAGGGACACGGTACAGGGACACGGCACAGGACACGGTACAGGGACACGGTACAGGGACACGGCACAGGACATTACTTTTATATTCAAAACATTACAATATAAAATGTTACCCCGGAAATGCCTCCAGAAACATGTCCGGCCTCTGATTGGCCGATGGGTACGGCACTATGACGTGTTATCCATGTTGGTCTGTCCTTCAGGAGGCCCTAGATTGTGATTGGCTGAGCCGTATGATCGCCGTTTCCTTGAATGAAAAACTGATTTCTATCCCATTGTTAACATTAAAAGTTCAGGTGTCGGCGGCGGTGATGAGGGGGATGGCAGTGATGGCGGCGGCGGTGATGAGAGTGATGGCGGTGATGGCGGCGGCAGTGATGAGGGTGATGGCAGTGATGGCGGCGGCGGTGATGAGAGTGATGGCGGTGATGGCGGCGGCAGTGATGAGGGTGATGGCAGTGATGGCGGCGGCGGTGATGAGAGTGATGGCGGTGATGGCGGCGGCAGTGATGAGGGTGATGGCAGTGATGGCGGCGGCGGTGATGAGAGTGATGGCGGTGATGGCGGCGGCAGTGATGAGGGTGATGGCAGTGATGGCGGCGGCGGTGATGAGAGTGATGGCGGTGATGGCGGCGGCAGTGATGAGGGTGATGGCAGTGATGGCGGCGGCGGTGATGAGAGTGATGGCGGTGATGGCGGCGGCAGTGATGAGGGTGATGGCAGTGATGGCGGCGGCGGTGATGAGAGTGATGGCGGTGATGGCGGCGGCAGTGATGAGGGTGATGGCAGTGATGGCGGCGGCGGTGATGAGAGTGATGGCGGTGATGGCGGCGGCAGTGATGAGGGTGATGGCAGTGATGGCGGCGGCGGTGATGAGAGTGATGGCGGTGATGGCGGCGGCAGTGATGAGGGTGATGGCAGTGATGGCGGCGGCGGTGATGAGAGTGATGGCGGTGATGGCGGCGGCAGTGATGAGGGTGATGGCAGTGATGGCGGCGGCGGTGGTGATGATGGCGGCACGGCTGAGCGGCTCTCATTGCGGCGGCGATGTGACTGATTACTCGGCGTTGTCTCACAGAAACTTATTTGTGAATGTCGGAGGAATTAATGAGACATAAAACTATTTTCAGCCAGCGTGCCGCGCTCAGCATTTCTCTGCCGCCTTGTGATTACCGCCAATATAATAATGTATCTCGGACACATAACGATACTCCGCATAGATTACCAACATGAGGCACGCGGCCGGCCCCTGGGGGCCCCTGTACACCTTCTGGACCCTAGTCTATCATTGGGGACCTTCGGGGGAGTTCCCAGGATTAGGGCAGATGCTGAGGGAACTCCTCCTGGGGTGATCCTCACCTGATGACAAGGTTGTGTCGCCATTATTCCAAACCTCCTGAAAGCGAAAATCACGAGTCCACCATATTCTGCACCCCTCCCCCTCCCCCACACACCTGATCAGTAGGGTGACCTCCCAGCTTTCTCCATGACAAGTATTTGCTCCATCTTCCCTTCAGGAAGTTCACAGCTCAGAAAACTAAAATTCATTTAATTCTGATTTAGTAAAAGGGGCCGATTGATGATAAAAGATTTCACACAAGATTCACACGTTTCTATAGCTGAATTCAATTGAAAAATGTGTGAATCCTGGGGGAGAGTCGTGTGAATCCTGGGGGAGAGTCGTGTGAATCCTGGGGGAGAGTCGTGTGAATCCTGGGGGAGAGTCGTGTGAATCCTGGGGGAGAGTCGTGTGAATCTAGTGTAAGAACTCTTTTGTGATGATTTTATTTCAGCAATAAATGATCCGGAACGGGAATATTATGTCCCGCCAAAAGCGTCGCATTCCCGGATATAACCAATGTCCTGTTCTCCACCGGGGAATAATTAACGTTAATTAAAAAAATGAGGGGCGGGCCTATTCCATGTGATACCACGATCAGGAAGTACATGCTTGGCGGACGCTGGATTTGGCGCTGTGTTCCACCGGCCGGTTTTGTCTGTTTTAAACTGCGAGTTTTCTATGGGTTTTTTTAAATAAACGTGTATTCTTGTCACAGCGTGAGGATCCCACACATGCTCCAGTGACGGGATGCTGCCGGATAGAATACCTTGAAGCCCCGTTCACATTGAGCCATTTATCGCGCGGTAATTCCCGCGATATCGCGCTACGATGCATTTCAATGGGGCAAAGGGTCCTGCTGTCGCGGGTGGTGCGTCGCTGTCGCGGGTGGTGCGTCACTGTCGCGGGTGGTGCGTCGCTGTCGCGGGTGGTGCGTCGCTGTCGCGGGTGGTGCGTCACTGTCGCGGGTGGTGCGTCGCTGTCGCGGGTGGTGCGTCACTGTCGCGGGTGGTGCGTCACTGTCGCGGTTCGTGTGTCGCTACAGCAGGACCCTTTTTGGAGCGGATTTAGCCGCAATTCTCGCTTGCTCAATGCAAGCTTGAACGCGATATCGCGCAGTGGGAACGGGAACTGAATGTGGACGCATAGAATCCTCTACACCGTCTATTTTCCACAGACAGTGGGGCGAGTGCGCACCCCAGAGGGGGATCCGTGGACACTTGCACAGCGCTGTGGAAATATTTCTGTCTGGGCTTCAATTTTTTCTACTTTGGATTTATCATCACAACCGAACTTTATTTTGATGAATTATCACTGACGATTGTATAGGATTGGATGCAGTTGGCTGTTATATAGCGAC